TTAAATTAAAATTAAAATGCTCTCCTGTTTAAACATGTTCAATATTTAAGTTTTGGTTTGTTTGCCTGTTTACGGCTATTTCTGTCACTTTGCCAATAATACGACCCAAAGTTCACGGATGTCAGCAGACAGCAGGGGCAACAGCATGTGACAAGCCTGGCACCAGCAGAGAGCTAAATGCACAGGCCAGCAATGCCCCCTCCCGGCCCTGCCCAACCGGGAACCCCCAGCTCCCAGCACCCACTGACCCTGGGTCCCAAGTCTCTGTGTGTGTGTGTCTCCCAGTCCCCTCACTTTAACTTAGATCTCCCTCCTCCCCAATCCTCACAGGCACCCTGACTGCTAGAAGCAGTGACACCAAACTTCCAAAACTCTCATCCCTCTGATGGGTTACGACCCAAATGTGCTTTGCACCATCCTCCCCACCTCCCAAATACTAGAGTTTGTCTAACCCACCCCTTAAAACAGATCACATAAAAGTAACTGGAGAGAAGGGGTATTTCTCAACAGCCCTCGAGTTGCAGGTCAATAGCTCACATCCAGATTATGACAAACTGTATATCGTCGAATCACATCCCTTCTGCCGAGCTCACTGCTGTGCCTGAATGGTAGTGTTCAAGGAAAGCCGGGTTGTGACTTCCCTTCCCTCATTCTCCCCTTTGCTCTCTCAGCCTCTTCCATCAAAAAAAAAAAAAAAAGAGAGAGAGAGAGAGAGAGAGAGAGAGAGATCCAACACTTGAACTCTCTGGTCAGCAAGAAAAAGTTTTTGCATTTGCCTGCTATGGATGAACTTCTGTGAAGTCGCTCCAGCTGCTTCGACCCCACAAGGAATCTGAGCAGAGGCAGCCCTACATTGACTGAAGTTATTTCACTCGTGCTCGGCTCAAGCCCTCATGCCATCAGAATTATTCCCCTGCTGTATACAGCTTCGCTGCATAATGCCCATCTCCTATTTATACAAACGCACACGCACACACACACACACACACACACACACAAATGATTCTCTAATGTTGTAAAGAAGAGAGGAGTACCAGTCCCATGATATAATTGCTGTATTACAAAGAAGTGGCAGGCAAGAATAATAAGATAAGGTGTCAAAAGTGAAATACAGTAGTAGACTTAAAAAAAAAAAAAAAACCTACAGTTCTGTGATGGGGGTGTTAATTGAACACAGAGAAAAAAAAGAAAAGAGAGAGAACAAAAGAGTGTTAAGGAAGCAAAAAATAATAATAATAATTTTTTTAACCTCCTTCAGTGATTTGATTTAACTTCAGCGCAGATAATTCACAGAGGAAAATCGGCTGAAAATGCCATAGATAGCTATTATGTTCTAAAATTAAAAACTATTCACAACAATTACAGCTATTCATTGCTATCTATAAATATTCTCCTTAGTAAATGGCACCCAATATTTTTTGCGTGTTTTCCTCATTTTTAAACCTGCATGATTTTTGACACACAAGTAAAAAAAAAGAAAAGTAAAAGAAACACTGGAAAATATAAGGTCTTTTTTAAGAAATGCAGTGTGTCTACCTTTTTTTTCCCTCCTCCTCTTCCATATCCCATCAACCCCACGACCACCACATATACACATATGGAAAACTCAGCCTATTGCTAATATGTCAGAAGACAAGGAATGGTTCCTAAAAAAAAAAAAAAAAAAAAAGAGAGAGAGAGAGAAAATGAGATATTGAGGTCCAAAACTCTATATTAAATCCCTCTGTTCTCAGAAGGAGAGAGCAGATAAAAAGCCACTTGTGAAACACACATTGCTATGGGTCTAGACAAGGTTTTCCTTGCTGTTGTTTGAGATTTGCCACCGAGCATTTTGCAGGCATTCTTTTTTCTGAGCATTTATTTTTAAAAAGCAAAAGGGTATCAAAATAAAAACTCACCCACACTCTGAAGAAAGAAGACACATGGTGAGGTGTTTTTTTTGTTTTTTTTTTTAATATCCTCACAGTAATTTCTGACTTAAATACCCATCAATCAACTGTAATTTAGACGCTGCTGCCTACTTTGGGTGTTGTGCGCATGTGTTCCTTTCAAGTTCCAAAAGGTTGGTGAGACCATCTCTGCTAGCATTCCTACTTGCTTCTGAGCTCTCCAACTGAAATCATGAACAGAAACCAAAAAAAGTAAAAGCAGAAAATAGAGGCCACCGCCATGCACCTCTCAGAGTCCCGTCCTCCCTATAGAAAGACCCAGGTGAGCCAAACCTGTGAACTTGGTGTGAGAATACCAACCAGCAAACAAGCCCACCCTACATCAAGTAACGTCTACAGGGCTTGAGATGGGAGCCCAAAAATACTCATCCAAAGCAAAATTACTCATTGAAGGTGAAAATACTCATTCAAGGCAAGGGCCCTTGGAAGTAACAATAGGAGAAGTCCCCTAACAATGAAGGAATGCGTAGGACCTGACCATCCTACAGATCTGGTTACCAGCTCTGCATCAAGGGAAGGGGGTAAAAAAAAAAAAAAAAAAAAAGCTCCTGCAACTTTACACTTTCTGTGTCTCAGACACATCGACCGCAAGGAAGATAAGCTGGCAGGGAGACGGGAGTTGGGCAGATCCTAAGGAAGGGAGTCATCAGGCTTTAGAATCAAAGGCCTCTTTTCCACACACCGGTTGTCTGTCTCCCACCTTCAACACAGAACACTCAACACTCCAGAACACATTTCTTCCTTCCCCTCACTCCTTCTAACATCCAAGTGGAAGAATAACAAGGAGGAAGGCAACCTTTTTTTCTTGTCTTTTTTTTTTTCAACTTTCACCGTGGGTGCCCTCTCGATCCCAAGGCCTAGGTGTGTATGTGTGCGCGTGTGGACATGTTATTTCCCCTTACACAGGGGCAGTGATCCTTGCCGTCTTCCATTTCCAGGACTTGATCAACTATGTTTTAAATCTGTGATTCTAAAGATAGCACACAGAACCTTAACTTAGATTTTTTTTTTTTACCTCTCCAGACATTAATTCATTAAGTGGCAGAAAATTCTTAAAAAAGCAAAATACCAATCCAATGATAAATGACGCCTTTCCAGTGTTATTTTGACCAATACCACTGCTTCCTATCACCGTAGTTTAGCCAATATGAATAAGAAACAAACTCTTTAACACCAGAACCGGATCTCTATTCACACCCACCCACTTTGATCTATTGCCTTAGTAGGTTTTAATTAGAAGCCTAGAATTAAACACTTTGGCCACAATATATGCATTCAAGTGCCCTGATGGGCTTCCTTTCAATAAATATGTGATAAAGTGTCTTCAAAAATAGAGTCGCCTTAGCCTGGATTATCAAATATGCCTTTATGTCTTGATTTCTACATTTCATGAATCAAGAGAGGCAAGAAAGCATACCAGATTAGAGACAAATTTCAACAAACCAAATACTCAAAAGTACAGAAGCATCAGAGATCAAAAAAGAAAATGAGAAGGAAGAAAAAAAAAAGGAGAGAAGAAACAAATAGCCATGCACTGAGGTTTCCTGCTCCGGTTAATAGGAAAAAAAAAAAAAAAAACAAGCAAACTAAAAAGTGTGACAAACCGGAAAAGCTCTTTGATATTTCTATGTACAATTCATAAATCTCTTAAAAGGTGTTTCACAGCTAAAATAATGTAATTAACAGCTTTGCAGCCAGGTTAGGCTCTGGCAAGGCAACCTGGAAGTCTGGAAGGTCTGAACATCACTGCTCAGGTGCTTTGTCTAGAATGTTATGCACAACACAAATAACATCCAACAAAGGAGCTGCTTACTAATTTCCCATAGATTTCAAGACCCCAGTAATTACATGTTCCATCAGTGGTCACATCTTGAAACTATTTATTTTTTAAAAGAGAAACACCAAGAGCTTTCCGAAAGAAAGCCACCCTGGGTGCCCTCCCCCCCCCCTTTTTTTTTATGTGTAACTATCAATGTATATCAACCGGGCATGCAATCATATTTATTGTCACTTTCATTCATGTCATGCCCTTGCTTATATGGTTTAGATATGAATTATTGACTGTTACACTCCTTGTTGTAAAAAATAAATAAATAAATAGGATGGCAGGTACTTTGCACTGCTCTGAAGCGAGCGAGCAAGCCAGAGGCCAGCAGAAGCTCCCGCTTTATATAACCACCCCTCGTTCCTCATCTTTATGCCCTAGTTTCAGATTGCCTTCTCAACTCTTTCTTTTCACAAGGGCGAGATGCACCCACTTTGGAAAATTAAGGCTTAAAATAAACAAACAAGAGGATGTTGCTAAATGTCCTTCCCAGAGCATCTGTTGTTTAAGAACACCTCTGATTGATGATTGCTATTTTTTAATTGTTGCTTTAAAATTTAAATGCCCTCCTGGGATGTGTTATAAGTGTGTTAGTCCATGATATGAGGTCTAGAAAGTAGAAAAACAACAGAATGAGTGATCTCATGGCATTATAGTCCCCTAAACCCAACGCTTCCCCCTGCTATAAAATCACAGGGCACTTCAAATACCGGCAACCTGAGGTTGTATGGCGCTTTCCACAAAGGTATTTGACAACACTGCTAAGAACCTCTAGCCTGCTGCTTGGTACAATTGTAAGAAAGAAAAAAAAAAGGAAAGGAAACTTTAAACAGTTTAGCCCCCATGCCCAACTCCAAAAGAACGAGCGTTTTAAATATGGGCCAAAAATTTTCCTCCAGGACACAGACTTTTACTTTCATATTTTTCCCCCAAAGGCACATCATTCTATAAATTTCCCTTCAGAACCTCTATCTTAGCCCCAATTTCAAAGAGGCTGGTAACAGAGTTAAGGAAAATAAACCAGTAATGCTGGATAATAACTGTCAAAGAAACTTGGTGCTTTTTCCAGGAAGCAGGGCTACCAGGACTTCCTATTGGAATCTGCGATCAATCTTGAGAGCACTTTTATTCTGAAATTTTAATATTTAAATAATGGGTTTGTCATTGCTGGTTAAGTGAGTCAATTGGCCAAAGAAAATGCTTAAATGTTGGAATCTCATTCCTACCTGTTTTTTCTTTGATTTCACACAACACATTAAACAAGGCAGGCTTCATTCTGTGGCAGTTTAAAGCATGTTTTCTGCAAGAAAGAAACAACAACATAATAGCTTAGGTGGACTTTCAAGATCAAACTGCTGATAATGCACAGGGGGAAAAAAATCTGAACATTTAGCCAAAATTATATCCCAAGCATAACTCTGTGGCATGCTTCAATTGTTTTATGACTTAATATACAGAGTCCCGCCATAGAAAAAGAAATAATGTTAATTAGCAGGGAGAGAGTAGGGATTTAACTACAGAACAGAACTAACCTAAATTATGCCCATTCAGGCAGAGTTAGGTTTTTGCTTGGGCTTTTTTTTTTTTTTTTTTTCCAAGTAGTTCAATCAAAGTGGAATTCTTAAACCAATAATTCTATCCAGGGCAATGAATACGGCAAAGCCAAATGCATGGGGTAACAGTTTTCTATAATCTATGCATCCACCACAGCCTAGGAGCTGTCTGCCTCTCCGTCTATGTGTGTGTTTTCAAATTTAATTCATCCATGTGTTCGAATTCATTCCGCAGATGCCCCTGTATTCTCATAAACACAAGATGCTTGAAAGGTCTTCTGAGTAGAACTGTCAATTTATAAAATTTCAGTCCCCAAGTTAAAGAGTATGGAAATGCATTGCCAGGGGGCAAACATACCCATATGGGGAATAAATTCATTTCTCCGTGTTCACATTATGCCTCTTGTGCACACACCGCTTATTTGCAGGTGTTGAAATTCAATTATTTACAATTAGGACCTTGCACCCATTGGGGAAAAAAATAAATACAATTCTGCCTTTTAGATTAGTGATTTACCTGGTTCCTGCGTGTGTTTCTATTCAGAGTGCACTTGAGGAACACAACAATACCTTTCCCTTGATTTTACTATGGAAGCACTTAGCAGGAGGATATTGTTTTGGAAACAAAATCCTGATCATATCAGCTATCAGTTAAGGGAATTCTGTTTACAAACTGAAATTAATGTGCAAAGACAAATGGAAACCTCTGGCACTCCAGACACATGCAATTCTTTTTTAATTCTTGTGAAAGTTAAAAAATAGAGAGAGAGACACATTCTCCTTAAGGACAGTAACCAGAAGCATGCTCCATACACTGTACAGCAGAGGGGTAATAAGCTCAAAATTCAAGAGTATCAAAATAAACACATGCATGGTGTCTAAAACACTAATGGTCTACTTTGTAAATAATAAATGTACATGAGAAAGGTATGGCTAAGGAAAGGAAAAACAGATCTAGTATTTGCTAAGTAGAGTTACATTGTTTAACCAAAAAGCAAGCTTAGTGGTGATTGAGTTCTCATGTGGGGTGAGAAAAAAAAAAAAAAGGTGGAAAATACTTCACTGTATGAAAGACCCCTTCTGGGGCCTTTTTTAAATAGTTTTCATTTAAGTGTATTCTTACGCACAGGCCCAAATGGAAAAACAAATAAACAAAAGCAACAACAAAAAGCCCCACACGGCTTTACAGAAATACTGCATTTCCACAGCACATCAATGGGGTTATGGAGAGAGAAGAGCTTTCCCTCTCCCAAAATTGGGAGCCTAGATCGCTCGCGGCATCTAGGCCACTGTATGGGGGGACCCGCCAAGCCACGGCTGTCCTCAGTTGTACAAAAAGGGGTAGGACCAAACATGAGAAAAGTGGTGAGTCTCCAGCCTTCCCGGCCCCTTCCACTTCACAAACTTGTTATTAAACCTGTTTATTGGTATGTCTGAGTTTATTTTCCTGGAACAATGTAATGGAGAAATCTGTTCCAATTCAAAAAGAGACTGGCCAGTGGGAAATCTTCCACTTTACTACAATTATTAGCTTCTCTTCAGATAATACAATTCAAAAAGAGCACCGATTCATTTCCGAAAACTTTCCCCCATTTAAAAAAAAAAATTAAGAATAGTTCCAGTCTTCAGAGATTTCTAAGTTTTCGAGCACACATAAACCTCAGTACTTTTGAGTTTACATGTTGCATGTGCTTGCAGCTAAAATAAGGGTGTAATTCATAACATCCATGCTTTTAACTGCTTCTCATTTTCTCAACTCAAATTCCTTATTTCCGTAGGACAAAATCACCTATAAATGAGGTCTTTTTCACATAACTAAGTCATCTGGGGTATAGGAATAGTGTACATATTTTCTTTTTTAGAAAAACAACTACTTCTGAGATTTAACAAAGCAGGGTAATTAACTGTAAAGACATATGTGATCATTAGATTTTTTAAATTCTTCCTTTCGAGATCGGCCTTGGGCAAGCTGTTAGTGGGTTGCCATTGACTCTACGTTTTATTTTGAAAGAGAATTTCCTGTAAAATCCTGGAGTGGAGAACCTCTACCTGGCAGAGGGTTAAGTTGAGAAGCTACACAGCTTCTTTATTATGTTTCCTTAATAAAGATCTTCCTGTCCTATGGCACTGAAATACATGCAATTCACACATGCCTTCATTTCTATTTATTTGCATTCTAAGTGGTCCTGAAAGAAGCATGGAGAGAAAAAAAAAAAAAAAAAGCATGCTTGATTTTTGTGCCACCCCCCACCCCTTTTTAAAGGACCATACATTGGGTGCCACTGGAAGGCTGGTAAACTGACTCAAATGAACAGACAATAAAGTTAAACTGAATATCTGAGTCGCCCAGAACTAACAAATATGCCTAAAAGCAAAATCATGTTTGCCTTCTTCCCATTAGCTTCTTTTGAAACAGAATCAAATGAATGCAAAATATCTTTTGGAGAGCTGACAAGTACTGACAAAGAATTAATCTGCTTTTTGTTGTTGTTGTTGTTGTTGTTGTTGTTTTTCCAAAGGGGGCAGAAGGGGGATAAAAGATAAAAATCCATTTTGGAGGGGTGCATCAAGAGAGGAAAGCAAAAAGTCTCTGAATGAGGTAAGGAGTCACTAAATTTGCAAATAAAAGTGTTATTGGGACATTGCATTTTGTAATGCTGCGGAGTCCCCCAGCAAGAAGGCAGGGAATGGGGTTCAAAACTTGACAATTGTGCTCTCTCTGATACTTTTTTTAAAGCAGTGAAAAGTGCCGAGGGCCGCTTTTGGATCGGCTGGCAGTATTTTCGGCGTGCCTGAGTGTTTGTGTGCACATATAGGAATATCTCTGTATTCTCACACACACACACACACACACACACACACACGCAGCCACATCTCGGCATGGGCGATTACACTTTCGATAACAACGCTCCTTGCAATTTTACTCCTCCGCCATGGAGTTGAGCTCATCAGAATGGGAAAAGAAATAACATTTAAAAAGAAAGCGCTGTGCTGATTCGGTTCCCATTGTTTCCCCCCGCGAGAGGGAGAAAAACAAAAAACCCCAAGAAAGGAGAAGAAGAAAAGCCTCCATCTCACCTGGCCTGCGCCTCATCCAAACTCTGGTCTGTGATGGTCATAATTTGCTGTAAAATGTCTCCAATGTCCTGCTTCCTCCCGCCCTCCCCCTCGGTCCCTCCGGCCCCATCCTGCAAGTGCTGGGACAGGCCGGGGTGTCCGGCCATCCCGACCCCAGCATGGGAATGCATCAGCCTGGGCTGCTCGTCCATCTCCAAAGGCAACGGCAGCCCCCGGCTCTTCCTCTTCTGCTCCTCGGCTCGGCTCCTGGGCAGCACCAAGGCTTTTTATCCTTCAAGCTGGCTTCAGATCCTTTTCAGGATAAACAGGGAAGGGGAAAAAAAAAAAAAAAAAAAAGAAGACCAAAAGAAGAAGAAAAAAAAAATCCCTTTGCCTCTTTTAGAGGCTGGTGGGAGGATGGGGAGTGGGGAGGGGGAGGGGGGCGTGAAGGGGTTGCGGGGTGAGGGTGGGAATAAGGGCTGGTGGGGAAGGGTGTTGACTCCGAAAAGCAAGAAAAATAAACCACCTTCCCACTTGACGAAAAGAAATCAGAGCTGGCTTTTGGTTGTTTTTTTTTTTTTTTTTTTTTTTTTTCTCAGTCCGGTCTCCTTTGCGAGGCAGAAATGGGCTCCCGGCGCTTAAATCTGTGGCTTAATCCTTTTGCAAATATGCATTGATCGGGAGAAAGGAGAGGAAGGCAGGGGGATTGCAATGCAAACTTTCCCCCCCACCCCCCGCTGCCCCCCACCCCCACTCCGGGCCAGAGTGATCTCAAAGGGGGTGGGCTGTTGCAAAAGCCAGATCTCCCCCGGCCGCGGCGGCAGGCAGAGCTCAGGCTCTCTCCTCCTCCGTGGCTCTGCAAACTCCGGCAGCCCCGCCAGCCTCCTGCTTTTGTTTAGCTCAGGCTCAGGACTCCAGAAACACATACAGAAAAACCACAGCCTGCGAGGAGGAGGAGGAGGAGGAGGAGGAGGAGGAGGAGGAGGAGGAGGAGGAGGGAGGAGGAGGAGGAGGGGGAGGAGGAGGACGAGAAGGAGGAGGAGGACGAGAAGGAGGAGAGGGGAGGGGGCGGGGAAGCCGGGGGGCGGGGGGCCCAAGGAGGGAGGAGGGCGCGCGGGCCCCGCCCCCCTGCTCTGATTGGCCGCCGCCGCCAAGACGGCCCCGCCCCCCGCCGCGCGCCTCCCGGCGCCTCCTCCGCGGCCTCCTTCGGCCCCGCCCCTCCCGGCGCCCTGTCAATCAGAGCTCGGAGGTGGGCGGGGAAGGAGGCCGGGCCAGCGCCGAGCGCCCGGTTCTTAAAGGTGCCGCGCAACCCGAGCGCCGGCTGCCTTCTGCGCCCAGGTCTTGTCGCCTGCCTCGCCTGGCTGCCGCCCTGCAGAGACGAATGTGGCTGCCCTTCAGTGCAAACGTAGGATATTTTCCAGGAGAGAACACAGCCGCTGTGAGTCAACCCCCCACCCCGCCACCCCCAGCAGCACCAGCAGCACCAGCAGCAGCACCAGCAGCACCAGCAGCACCCACCCACCTCTGTGTTCTCTTGCTTGCGACGTTGCATTTGGAAAACTGGAACCCTGGAAATCCTTAGACCTCAGGGAAACCGTCGAGAGCAAAAGTTTGTCAGCACGAAGTAGTTAGGAAGCACAGTCGAGCTGCTAACACAACCAACCCTGAGCTCTTAAGAAAGGGCAGATGCAATAATAGATTTTTTTTTTTTTTTTTTTTGGAATCAACAGTAGAGTTCAAAGTCAGACCGAACTGTGACATTTGTGGTGCATGAACACTCAATTGTGAACTATGAAACAAAATAATGTTGGAGGGGAGGGGGAAAGATTGATAAATAAGTCCACCAATTGAATCTAATTCAACAGATCTCTCCCTTCCCCCTAGGGGAAATTAGTTATTTGGCTTAAATACTTAATAAAGAAATGCATTATCACAGTCTGGTTCTAGTTTTTAATATAGTCTAATAAGCATTATTAACTGGAGTAAGAAGCGAACTGACATTTATTGAATGCCTACTATGCACCGAGTAATTTGCATGACTTATTTTATTTAATCCTCGAGACACCTCTGAGTTATGGGTTATGATTTCCACTTTAGAGAGAGGGAATGCAGAAAGGTTAAAAAACTGGTCCAAGGTCCCACGGTTTTTAAGTGTCAAAGCTGGAATTTAAACCTAAGTGTGGCTGTCTCCAGAAACCTGGTGTTTCAACTGTGCAACCTGCCTGGGTCTAACGGAAATGTGTGAATCGTGTAAAAAATTAGCTATGTGCGCATTGCCCATGTTGTTTGCAAAGAGGCTTAAAGTGCTTTAAAAGACACACACGCACGCACACACACATTCGAACAAGATGACTCAAATTGAAAATGGGTAGGAAAGAATGAGAAAAGATTTAAGTAGAACTGAGGGGAAAAAAAACTAATAAACTCACAGCTGAAGTCCAATACTGTAGCTCCAGGTAGATCACAAATTTGCCCCCAGGCTTTTCATCAGGCAAGGTGAGAGGAGAAATCTGGCTGGCTACACAGTCACAATGGCCAAAAGATAAAAGGGCAGGGGAAGTACTTAGGAAAAGCCCAGAAAATGTTAACATAAACTATTCTAAGATGTAGCCAGCCCTCTCCTGGGATGGCAACATAGCCAAACCTCAGTGTACCCAATCTGCAAAATGGAAGGCATCCTTGCCAGGTGCTCTTAAGATCCTCAAATAAAATGTTATTCTTGGGATCCCTGGGTAGCTCAGCGGTTGAGTGTCTGCCTTTGGCTCAGGGCTTGATCCCAGGTCTGGGATCAAGTCGCACATCAGGCTCCCTGCATGGAGCCTGCTCCTCCCTCTGCCTGTGTCTCTGCCCCTCTCTCTCTCTCTCTCTCTCTCTCTCTCTCTCCCTCTCTCTCTCTCTGTCTCTCAAGAACAAATAAAATATTTTTTAAAAATTAATAAATAAAATGTTATTCTTTTTCATCACTCCAACCTCTTTCCCAGTCATTATCAAAAACAAGTTTGGCAACATAAGGAGCTCTTATGAAAGGATTTCAAAGCAGTTCTTAACAAGCTACTTGGCACTTATTGGCATGAGGGCATGCAGTAGGGCGTATTAATTGTAATGATGATGCCATTACTTAGTAACAACTGTTTTATTCATAGACATACCCTGACTTGTAAACTGGTTTTTTTTAATCAACACTAATAAAAAGTTGAGCACGAAATGATATCCTCAAATTGTATGTCAATCACAGTATCGCTTACAATGATGAAATTATCACATCTTCAAGCATGAAGTCAGCCCAGATCCTATAGGAAATCAGGAAATCAGGATGTGAGCAAGTAATTTTAACAGAAAATCTGATAAAAGTTCACCAGGCAAGCTATTGGAAAAGGTACGTACCAGCGATACCAGAAGGTCATTGTCACCTATGAACATTCTTTTTGGGGTGATGGCAATGTTCTAAAATTCCATAGGGGTGATGGTAGCTCCATTTTGTGACTATACTAAAAACCAGATTTTTTTTTGGTACGTACACAGAATTGTACACTTTATAAATGTGAATTTTATGGCACTGCGAATTACATCTCAATAAAGCTGTTTTGTTAAAAAATTTAAAAATTGAAAAAAAAATTAAAAATCGAAGAAATAAGAACTGTCCACAGTAATAATATTAATGATAGTATTTACTGAGTGCTTGAGGTGGCTGGCTGGCAGCTCTTGATCTCGGGGTCATAAGTTTTAGCCGCATGTTGGGTTTAGAGATTACTTAAAAATAAAATCTTTAGGGGCCCCTGGGTGGCTCAGGGGTTGAGCGTCTGCCTCCGGCTCAGGGCGCCATCCCGGGGTCGTGGGATCCAGTCCCGCATCTGGCTCCCTGCATGGAGCCTGCTTCTCCCTCTGCCTATGTCTGTTTCTCTCATGAATAAATAAATAAAATCTTTAAAAATAAATAAATAAAATATTTAACAAAAAAAGAGGAATTGAGTGGTGTAGTATGATCAAGTGTTACAGTTGACCCTTGAACAACATGGGTTTGAACTGAGGCAGGTCCACTTGTATGTGGATTTTCTTAATAAATACAGTACAGTATTGTACATTTGTATTTTCTCTTAGGATTCTCCTTTTTTAATTATTTATTTATTTATTTGTTTGTTTGAACACACACACACACACACACACACACACACACAGAGCAAGTAAGGTTCAGCAGAGAGGGAAAAGCAGACTCCTTACTGAGCAGGGAGCCTAATGCAGGGCTCAGTCCCAGGACCCTGAGATCATGACCTGAGCTGAAATCAAGAGTCAGATGCTTAACCGATGGGCCACCCAGACACCCTTTACTTAAGATTTTCTTAATAACATTTTCATTTTTCTAGCTTACTTTATTGTAAGAATATTTATGATGCATACAATAATACATACATAAAATATGTGTTAATCAACTCTTATGTTATCAGTGAGGCTTCTGGTCAACAGTAAGCTACTAGTAGTTAAGTTTTGGGGGAGTCAAAAGTTATATATGGATTTTCAACTGCACGGGGCATTGGCACCCCTAATCCCTATATGTTCAAGGGTCAACTGTATATTCAACGTACTTTATTAATTTAATAATCACCACAACTGTCTCATCTCAATATCTGTGCTTTTAATTATGACTCTATAGTGTTGCCAAAATATATTTCAATATATGTTTAATGCTATAGATGAGATAGCATGTCCTAAACGCTGATGAGGGATGAGAAACAGGGCAGCCCAATTACAGTGATTAGAAGAAAGCTTTGGCTGGTAAGTAAAAGCATAGGTACTGAGTCAGACAGTTGTGGTGATTAAATTAATGAAATAAGTCGAATATATGGTTGACCCTCGAACAACCAGCCGAGTTAGGGGCACCTGTTCCCCATGGAGTCAAAAATCTGCCTGCAACTTTTGACTCCCCCAAAACTTAGCTGTTAACAGCCTCTTGTTGCCCAACACCACATTTTGGAAGAAGAGAAGGTGCAATAAGGAAGAGGAACGAGGAAAGTGGCAGAAGCATGGGAAAGGACAGCGATTATAAAGAACGTTTTCAAAGAAGAGCTAACTGATTTTATGTGAATTGGGGGGGAAGGATAAAAAATGTTTTCCAGCTTATGTGGGAAGAATGAGGTGATGTTAACAGAATAATAATTCCAACTGGAGATACAATTTGTCGAGTTGCTGATTATGCTTCAGGCACCCTGTGTACTTAGTTTTAGCGATGTGACCCTTCATTGTCACAACTTTGTGAGACACAACTTTTCTCCTCCATTTTGCAGGAGAAGACACCAAGGTTCCCGGAAGTGGAATTACTTCACAAAGTATGGATTTGAAAACTCTCTTATTTTAAAATGCGTCACAGAGGGTGAAGGAAGTTAGGAGGAAACACTACCAGAGAAAAAAAAATAGAATAAAAACCAGAATCTTCTGTTTTCATTAAGGAACTCCTAGAAGTAGATTCTGAGGAGAAATTTACGCACCTTCTGCATGGGGAGGCGGGTGGATAATGCTTTTGTGTCCCTTCCATAGCTCAACGATGCTTTAGTTGTATTAGATATTTTTAACAAATACGTATTGTAAGAGTGACTGATGCTAGTAATCGTGCTGCATTTCTTCCGAATGATAACTGAGGTCCACTGAATCATGTTTCAAAGACATGAGCCATTATCAACTTTGGCCACTTGGTTGTTCTCAGTGTGATCTAATTCTGATGTTTACAGAGT